GGGGCAGAGGTGGCTTGAGGTTTGGCTGGGGGGTGAGGGGGAAGGTCAGTGGTGGTGGGAGGAGAGGGGAATCTGGTCCCCACTGGTGTCACCAAGGACATGCCCGAGGTGTCACTGCAGGTGGCTCGGGGACATTTGCCCTCTCTGACCTTGCCCTAATTCTGTGGGCTGGGGACAGGGCGGGGGACAAAGCCCGGGGGGTGGCGGGATGTGGCCGGTGGCGACAGAGCTGCTCTGACTCAGATGTGGTCAGTGCTGCCCTTTGACCATAACCTTTAAAGGGCTGCTCCCTCCTGCCCACAAGCACCAGCCCAGAGGCAGGATCTGGCCTCCTCTGTCCCCTGGATGGGGCTGTCGGCGTCACCAGGGGGGTCCCCTGGGGCTGGCGTGTCCCACTGCCCCCCCGGGTGGCTCCGTTCCCAGGGCCTCTTTGCCCTGTTGCGGTGCAGGATCTGGCCGTGGGGCCCAGCTCCCAAAAGTCCAGCCACGTCCCTGCTCTGCCCAGGCATGATGTCACCACCCCCACGAATGGATACAGGACCCCCAAGTGGCCCTGGTGATGTCCCCAAAGCCAAGCTGAGCATCCTGGCTCTGGCTTCCCACCAGCTGTCACCTTCCTGCCAGCACCTCCATCATGTGTCACCGGGGCCTGGGCCCAGCACATCTACCCTGAATTAATCTAATTACTTGATTTCCCAGCCAGAGCTTGCTCCATAAAGTCCTTGGACAGAGACAGCATCTGGCTCGAGGGCCAGGGTGTAAAAAACAAACAAACCCCCCCCCAAAAAAAAAAAAAACCAGGAAAAAAGCAGGAGGAGAGAGGCAGAGCGGAGCTGCCTCTGACTGCCTGCATCCTTTTAAAGTGACCTGGGGGAAAAATAAAGAGGCTAGAAATGCAAAGAATCCAGCAGTCAGAGTTTTCTTTATATTCCTCTCAGTCACATTTCCACATCCATGGGTAATTTATAACCCACTTAACCCCTTCCCTGCCACCCCCCATCTTCCTCCCCCCCCATTACAGCCCCTTCACTCCAGAGCATCGAGCATCCTCAGGCTGCAGCACCTTCCTGCCTCTGTTTGCTTTGGGGAAGCACAAAAAGTCCCTCCAGGGAGTTTGCTAATCTCTAGAGAGGGGGGGAAAAAATGCAGTTGATGTCAAGGGGGTGCTTGAGCATAAGGGACGGGCTCAGTGGGGTGGGGACACGGGGTGACAAGTCCCCTGGCCATGGGGTGACCCCCCTAGGGTGGGAGGAGAGGGTGGGATCACCAAGGGCTCCAGAAAAGAAAATGTGAATGGAGGTCAGTAGTGATAAATGCAAAAGGCACGGAGTGTTTCTGGAGGGGGGGGTGGGAAGAGGAGGGG